ATGAGGAAAGAGCAATAGAATGTAAATTGAGACTAATAAAACTCTTATTGATTAACCTGCAACCAAGAAATGATGGCTGTTATCTGACTTGAGTTAATGCATTGACAGAACTGAGCCCTTGGCTTGGACTAAGTTGTTAAATTTGGCCTCATTTTCTAACCAAGTTTGACACCCCTGACTCAGAGTATGTGCTGTAAATTATTCTCAACTACTACCACACCATATTTAGCTCAACATCTGTAAAACTGACAATGTTTGCTAAGCTTAATTAACTATGGCATCTGTCTTGAATCAGGGTGATTTCAAAATGTAGTCAAGAGGTTATCCCCAATGATACCTTTGTCAAAGGTTCATGGAAATATGTCCAGTGGTTCATGAGATATTTTGCTAACAGACAGAAACACAATCGCACACAAACAGAAGCAAAAACGTTTTGTTATATTTTAACAGTTTATTAGGAGGGAACAGGAGAGCAAAATTAAGATGTACTTGATGACCTGGAAACTCCTGACTTTTCTTAATAGTACCTAAACACATCAGGTTGTATCATAGTGTAGCTACATGCCTCTTCCTGTTGAAGTTAGTGATTTGGTGTAACTTAATAAGTATTTAACGTCCAAGAAAACATGTCAACAGAACTAAAACAATCATAAATTGACACTATGGATTACTTTTTTATCTGAGTCATCACTAGTTTATTTCTAAAGTGAATTTCTATCAAATGAAAGCTTCTTTCCTCATATCATCCTCTCTGTAATGGGAATTTATTATTTATTGATCTGCTTCCTGATACATTACAAAATGTATGAATTATGCTACCGTATTTTTCGGACTATAAGGCGCACTTAAAATCCTTTAATTTTCTCAAAACTCGACAGTGAGCCTCATAATCTGGTTTCCTCATCGACAGTCATGTCAAACTGGTTCAAAACCAACAAAGTCCAGGTATATAATCCAACAATTTTCAGTCAGGTCATTTGGACAGTTTCTTTTTTTTTTTTGTGCTGAAACGTTTCACCTTCTCTTACACTTGTATTTATATGTTGTCATAGAGCTGGACAATAATTCGATATCAATATATATCGCGATATACTTTTATTCAATAACGGTGATATGAGTTTTAAGCACATTTTCGATATTTTGATGTGATTACAGCGTTTCACTGACACATTTCTTTTTCTGTTCGGGTTGAAGCGGCCGCTTCAGTTTCAACCCGAACAGAAAAAGCCATGACACAACAACGTAAGTACAGGTTTCAGTCCGCTGCGAAATGTGACGGAGAGTCGTACCAACTAGCGGTGGGAACATCTAACTTGTTCCATCTGAAGAGTTTCCACTCGATAGAATATACTGAGAGTCAGAGGATGAAGCACAATAAAAGTTTGAGCCAAAGTGTCCCTGAAACAACTCCCCCAGCTGTATCAATAGAGACACAGCAAACTGCATGGGTTAGGATATGTTGTTTAAAGTTACAGCTATTAATATTGACAAAGTTGAGTTTTATGTTTGACGGTGATTTCAAATTTCTTTTGAAGGTTAAATACAAATAAAAGGTGAACATTAATTTATTTGTACAGTTTGTACAGTTTTTCTGAGACATATCGTTTATATCGATATCGAATTCTATCGTTATCAACCGGCATTACGAAATATATCGCGATAAAAGTTTTGGCCATATCGTCCAGCCCTATGTTGTGATGTACTGTAAGAAAAGTAATACAATGTTTTCATTTTTGATATTTGCAAATGAGTCCTCGTGGCTCAATGGGACTAACCTGTTTAAATAAAGGTTGAATGAATTGTTGATGGGGATATCTGTAAGAAGACAGAGCTCAGGCTTCATCGTCTTCTTTATTTTTGTTACATTTTGATTTATTTTTCAGGAATCTTTGAGACGTTTACCTCCAGTGGCTCCTCTCTGTCTGGGCTCGCAGCTGTGGTAACCATACCATACCATTTTATTTAAAACAGCGACAAGGCCAACCAAAGTGCTGTACAGACAGAACAACAGGTAACACACAAAGCAAAATACAAAATGAAGTAAATCAGTAATATAGACATAAAAACGATGCAAATAATGACGACTAACCAGTGTGGAGCATACAGGATCAAACACAAAAAAACATTTTGCTAACACTGGAGGCACGGTGGCACAGTTGATAAAGCTGCCAACTCTCAGCAAAAAGGTTGTCGGATTGAAACCCGGCTCTGGACCCCTCTCTGTGGAGTTTGCATGTTCTCTCCGTGCATGTGTGGGTTTTCTCCAGGTACTCCGGTTTCCTCCCACAGACCAAAAACATGCATGTTAGGCTGATTGGTAACTCTAAATTGTCTCTAGGTGTGAGTGAGAGAGTGAACGTTTGTTTGTCTCGTTTGTCTCTATGTGTCCCTGTGATGGACTGGAGACCTGTCCAGAGTGTCCACCGCCTCTCACACAGTGATGACTGGATATAGGCACCAGTGACCCCTGCGACCCGAAAAGGAAGAATCGTGTAAAGATAATGGATGGATGAAGCTGGTACACTGAGGAGGGTGGATGAAGGAGATTCCTACAGAATGAACCGACTTTGGATCGAGTTAGAATCGGATCAGAACCGGGGCAGGGAAACCATTAGAAGTTCTGTACTCGTAATGTTTTTTTGCTTCCTGTATTCTGTTTCTCCACGCAGCTTCATGTTCTTAACTTTGATTAAATCTACCTGATTGTTTGTGAATCAGTTTTTTCTACGACACCATCCCTCTCTCTCTCTCGGACACACACACACATTCACACATGCATAGATATAATGACAAAGAGTGGGTAGCATGCATTTTTTTTTCATCTCAAAAGTCAACACCTATGAGTTTTAGGAGGACGACAATGAAAAATGTATGTCTGGGAGTGAAAAGGCAGACCTGCTGCTGGAGCCTTCGACACAGTAAATAGATAATGTGAAACAGTGTGAAGACACTAAAATGGTGTCAGAGTGAAAGGTGAGAGTAATTTCATCTTCTCTTCAAATGCTTTCAACAAAGATAGAAAGGCAGACAGATGGGTGGTGTGTGAAGGTGTGGCACACACACACACACACACACACACACACACACACACACACACACACACACACACACACACACACACACACACTGATCTATGCAGCATCTGAGCAGAGGTGAGAAAACAGAAAGTGGGCCTGCTGCATCAAAAACAAACTTCCAGGACGGAGGCTGCAGATCACCTGAGGCTCTTATCTCGGCGACGCCTCTGGGTGTGACGGCTTTAATGTGCCAAAATAAAACGGCGGCTCGCATTCTGCTGCCGGAGCGTGCTCCAGGAGAAACGACACCTGGTGAGGGAAGTGGCCGATGCTATTCATGGAAGTGTTTTTTATTTTTATTTTTTTATTATTTTAATGGCTCTATTTTTTTTTTTTTTTTTTTTTGCCACAGTTTTCTTCCACTTAGATCAGCTGAAAAAAAAAACAAGACGACGCAAAAATGTTACTGGACATTAAAGATGGCTGGCAAAGCGTCATGCATAAAGAACTGGGTTAAGTGGCACTTGCAAATGGTTTTCTTTGATTACTTTAAGCCAAAGAATTGAAATGTAATGGTTTTCCGCCACATACCTCCTATGTCTGGTACTCCAAAGTAAATAAAACAGACATTGTGGTGTATTTTTTTTATTTTAATTTTTAAAAATAGACCAGAACCAGTGAATGTGCTCCTGTTGTGGCAGTAAAAGGACACACAAAGGAATTAGGTGGGTGTATTATTAGGCGTTTGTTCCAGAGGCTGCTGTAAGGCTTTGCGGCTGATGATCAGAGCTGATGCTCGGATGCGGGAATCTCTCTGCTCCCTGTTCTGCTTCAGCCTCCGGAGCACAGGTGCGGTGACGCTCTCTCCGGCCCAGGGACCGGCGCCTGCTGCTGGGCCACACTGCTGCCCTGGTTGGGGATCTGACCAAGAAATCAGCACATATTCATCTTAGGCACGGGTCTAAAAGATGAGAACTACAGGAAGCTCTGGCACGGTTAGGTCAGAATAAAAAGGTTTGTTCGGATTTTGAATATTCTTGGCCTGAGACTGATCTGACGGTTGCTATGAATTCATATTCTTATGTATTTATTACAGAAGGAACATCACAAGGATCACATTTCTATATTTATAGATCTGTTGAAACGTTTATGATAATCAGCTGTATAAACTGAAGCAAAAGTAAGCTGTAATACAAGAAATGAGGAAATAAAAAAGTAGAGATGACATAATGCTGTGTTCTTGCATGTCTCATTTATTGTAAATTGATTTTTTTTTTTTGGGGGGGGTGTTAGAAATTTAAAATATTTCCTCTCTATATATTATTTTCTTGGTACCTTGGTTTTCTATCTTTTAAAGCAATACTTTAAATCTTTTGACATATATGGTTTAGAGGGGGCAACATGGTGGTGCAACTGGTAGAGCTGCTGCCTCTCAGCGAGCAGGTCCCTGGTTCAAACCCCGGTCCAGGGGCCTTTCAGGGTGGAGCTTGCATGTTCGTCGCCTGCTGCTCTGAGGACACCAGAGGGCATGAGCACCTGCACAGCAGCTGATTGGACACCTGGAGTATAAAGAGCAGCAGATCCTGGTGCTGGAGCATTGAGCCTGCTATGGTTTTAGTGCCTCTGTTGTATCACTGCTGTCTAAGTAAGACTGACCTGTTCACTCTTACTTTTCAGTGAACCTTTTGTGAACCTTCTGAGTCCTAGACCTTTTTGAGAGATGCACCTGGAATCCTCTGGAGTCTCCTCAGCTGCCTTCCTGCGCTTTCCTGCCACATGCACTAACTTTCGTCAGAGAGTAAGCCCAAACCCATCCTGCCTGCATTACCCCTCTTGGAGAAACATCTACTAACCATTGCCCTTATTTCCCCAGGGATCCTGAGCACTGTTAATAAATTCACTTTAACCTATTTTTGGTCCTGGAGTTTGTTTACCTCAGTCTTTGCTTATGGGTATCCGACAAACAGAATAATTTTGAGTGGCTGCAAATACTTCATTGTGTACAACAAGGGGGGAAACTCCTAAAGGGAGGGGAGGAGAGAACGGGGAGGAAGGGAAACAAAGTCTCCCCTCAACCAGTCTGAGCGCTGTCGAGATTCGACGCAGCCACACAAATTTATAGACAATCCAGAATTCACCAGCCAAACAGCAAAATAACCAGTTGTCATCATGAATCCAATTTATTTCCGTCGAGGTAAGAGGGTCCTCCTTATTCCCTGACTCCTGTTGGGAGAAGTTGATCAATTTTGTTGAGAGACCAGCTGATCCGTCGAATTAAGAGGTATAAAGAAAAAAGAGAGGCTTTTTAAGGGTTCACAGGACAAAAGAGTGAAAGCAGGGAAGCGGGTGGGGGTGGGGGTGGGGGAACCATGGAGACACGTCTGGTTTCACCGGAGGACAGAGAGAAAAAAAAAAAGATGTGTACATTATTGGATTTATAATAACTGGATTTTTGATTTTTGGAATTGGCGTTTATCAAGGATATCAACAAATTAAGAAGATGTAGTCAGCAGTTTCGGCCGTGATAAAGCTGCCAGCCTTATGTGAAGGATTAATCCGTACCTTGAGCTTTCAGACTCGTATGCATAACGTGTTCAACCGCAAGCTGGACACTATTTCTGAGAATCGTAGGCCACTTGCAGCTCGTGGAACTCGCCGGCATGAAGGATTCAATCTTGGAGAAAGCTAAATCGAGCACGGACCGGGCAGAATGTCCACAAATCTGGCTGTTTGGATTCACCATTGAGTGTAACAGCAGAACTTGAAGGCAGACAGAAAACAGAGTCTGGAGGCCCAAACAGTTGTTTATTAGTTTGGCCTCCTCGCTGGCCTTGGACAGGTCAACTTATCTCAAATTGCTCCTGGAGGATACATAAACTATAAGCTCTGCCTGCCCCGGCCTTCCCTCCCGAGGATATCTGAGGCCTTATCAGAACCATGATGTGCTGATAGACACTGTACCATCTTATCAGAACTTTGGAACTTTCTGGAGTGTTTATGGATAACTCACTGCCTTTGTCATCCTCTTTGCATAAATGTATTATGATGTCAGTGTATGCTGCTGCTTTATGTTTCCAGGACTTTTTTTTTTTTTGCATCTTTCAAACTGTTTCCCAGCCAGGACAAGGTGTGAGACGTGATTTTTTTTTTTTGGCTTCCCCACCCTCGTGTTCTCTTTTTTCATCTGCTTGTATGTTGTATGTAATCAGGACTCTCTTGTAAATTAGTCTTTGAGGCTCAGTGGGAACTAACCTGTAAAAGGCCTAATAATAATAATAATGTTTTATTTTTTTGCTAATTTCTTTTTTTTTTTTTTGTAAACTTTTCTGCAGTTGAGCAAGAAATGTCTTAATTCATAAAGTTATCCAATTGTATTATTTTAAATTTGTCTCTCCAGGCAAACACATTTGAAGGTTCTTTTTCATTGGTCAGGAGAGAAGACAGAGGCTCTCCAGGATTGGTTTATTTAATAACTGACAGGAAAATGAACCAATCACAATGTTGGTGTAGAGTGGGTGGGACCAAAACACGTGGCTCTGAGTGTTCAGCCCTGCAGGTGTTTTCTTTTTTTAGTTTTTTGGGTTTTGTTCAAATGAAAGTCAAGAGCAGAGGAAAATGTATTTTCTGCAGTAGCTTTAACAAAACAATCCACGTACCACAAGTTTGAGTTGAGGACAATGCGTCCTGATTTCCCCCCATCACTCTTCGTCTTCTCTGGAGCACCATCAAGAGCTCAGCCTCCCCAACGTTTCTGCTGATTCCCCTCCTGGAGGGCTCTCTGCGGTGCTGTTGGCGCTTAATGTTGTCCTTCAGAGTAAAATGGAAAACACGGATCAAAACAATCCTAAAAATTTCAACGCTGTTTTGTCTTTATAATGGGAGAAGTGTTTTATAAAAATTACCAAAACTCCCTTTAACTCCATGATGGCAGATTTTCTGTTTTCACTTCTCTGGTCCTGTAGCGGGGTTTGGTCATTGAAAAATTATTGTTTCATTAGAAAATTATCAAAATTTGAGTTTATAAAATAAAAAAATAAAAAATGGGAATAGATCAAGAACTGACCTTCCAGGAGTTTTCGTCTTCCTGCAAATGAAGAAGTGTCAATAATCAGGCAAAGTACATCGATTGGAAGTTTTTTTTTTTTTTTTTTTAAGGTCACTTCATTTGGATAATTTCAACAGATTAATGTGTACATTGTGAGATACAGACACTCCTTTATTACCTGAATGTGTTTAATAGGCCTCAAGACAATGCCTTTCTTTATTCTCTCCATCATTTCATCTACAGCTTTTGTCTTAATGTCTAATAACGGTGCTGGCTCTTCAAGAAATAAAAAAATAAAAATAAATAAAAGTGAACATGTAAGACTAAAGTACAGGAATATACAAATAAAAGTAAAAGCGTATCTCAATAAAGCGTCAAACAAGCCAATCAAAGCATTTGGAAATTAATTATTTTCATGAAAATAAATAGAACTGCAGTACTTCAGTTTGTAATTTCCAGGAAAATGTATAATTATTGTGAGGCAATTAAAAAAGTTGAAAAGAAACTGACGGTGTTGATCAACACTGACTCCACCTCTCCTCCTGCTCTTGAGGAACTCCTGTATACTATGAACAAACACACACACACAAAAAGATGTTCTTTTCTCAACTTGTGAAGCATAACAAGTTCATAAAATGGTGTATAAAAGCAAAGTATAAAGGTATGTTTGTGACTTTATTTTTTTTTTTCTGGTCAGAATGGAAGAAGAAAAAGTCTGAAAAGAAGCCTTTGAATGGAAAATGAAACTATTTTCTGTTACTTGACAACAGGAGTTGTTGTTGGTGGTGGAGGCGGTGGAGGAGGTGGAGGAGGTGGAGTAGGAGTGGGTTCTTTCACCAGTTCATCAGCTTCATCCTTCTTGCTCAGTGTTTCTTGTAACTGTTTTACTACAAAGAGAAACAGTGGGGAAAATACAGAGGTGGACAAATACAAGGGTGTGAATACTCTTAAAGGTACTGTCGCAGTTTTGCGTATCTTCCACGTTGAAATAAGTGGCTGTAAGTAAAGAACGCCACAGTATTGCCTCTTTACATGTATTTACATACACACGTATAGGTTACAACAGATTTATTGGGTAACACTTTACAATAAGGTACACAAAATTTGCTTAACTACTAGGGAACGCCTAAGGAACAAATCAGGAGTTAATGGGTATTTAACCAGTACTTACTGGGGAACACACAGCCAAGCCTTATTAGGGGACTACTGATTTGTTACCACAGAAACAGAGGAGAAATTATCCACGTGGGTTCTGAATAAACCCTGCACCAGTGAGGTCACAGCTCGTAATTGTCCAAAACCTGTTTGCTAGTGATTACTGATTTTATTGCCCATTAGCTCCTGATTCGTTCCTCTTTAGTTTCCTTGATAACTACCCATTAGTTCTTAATTAGTTCCTCTTAATTTACTAGGTAACAAGTAGTCCCTTAATAAGGCTTGGCTGTGTGTTCCCCAGTAAGTACTGGTTATTTACTTATTTAGCTCCTGATTTGTTTCTCTTTGGTTTCCATGTTAACTACCCATTAGTTCCTGATTAGTTCCTCTTCGTTTCACATGTAACTAACCAGTAGTCCCCTAATAAGGCTGGGCTGTGTGTTTCCCAGTAAGTACTGGTTAACTACCTATTAACTCCTGATTTGTTCCTGATTCGTTCCTGAGGTGTTCTCTAGTAGTTAATCAAATGTTGTGTACCTAATTGTAAAGTGTTACCATTTATTGTTCACAGCAAAAAAAATGGGAGCTACCAATGTAGCATATTGAAAATAGATCTCACAACATACACTTTAATGAAAGTTGCATGGTGACACAGCATTACACAATCTAATGCTACACTCTGTGCACTGCCACAGTTTTATGGTGTACTTGTGGTTCTAATATGTGACGCGTCATGTCCAACCGAGGACTTGGTTGTGAGATAGGGTAGATGACCTGACTGAGAATTATTGGATTTGATACCTGGATGATTGAGCATGAACTTTGTTGTTAAGATAGGGTAGGACAAAACAGCCAGCTACAGAGCATAGAGAAAAATTTGTGACCTTTGGATTTTGTCAGAGATGTTGAATGTGGTTACTGAGCCAATCCTGGGGGTGGACTGGCCATCAGGAGCACTGGGACTTTTCCTGATGGCCTGGATCATTTTCTGGTTTCCCAGTGATTCAGGTCACACTTGAATATTTTAAATAAACAATCCATGCTGCTCACTCTGGCATCCGCCTCACTGAAGCTCCCACAGCAGCGATGGGGAAAGACAGGCCACACCACCTGCCCCCTTCCTTTCTTTATCTGAGGATGTATGTCACAGCAGAGTAACAGGTTGTGCACCCGCCTGTTGTGTGTGTCTGTTCTGCTGTGACTGACAGCCTCAGAAAGAGAAAGGAGGGGGCCCCTCTGTGATCACTGAGCGGGCCAGGCCACCGGGAAATGTCCCGGTGTTCCTGATGGCCAGTCTGCCCCTTAGCAGAATGCTCTGGTTGGTTGCCTTCCATCAATCAGCCAATCATGTGTCGTATACAATGTTATGTTGAAAACCTGCAAAAGAATGAGTCTGTGAAAGTCAAACCACGACGTATCAAGGGACTATTGTAAATACATTTCTTATGTGTCCTTTGAAGGAAGTCACCGAAATATAATCTTATAGAATGTTTCATGTACTTTTCTGAGTACCGTAGTATCAACTGTAGTGAACTTGACCTGATGTCAAATCAATGACCTTAGGATCATATGGTCAGAAACTGTCATTTCATTGATCTGCATCCAGAAATACAGTTTGACCCATCCTGAGACTTTCTTTCTTGAATTAATCAAGTAGAAAAGACAATTCTCTGAGATCATTACTATTTTACAAATGTTTTGATAATCAAATTGTGTTAGTTCAAACAATGTTTACAGGTTGAAGTGAACTACTCATTTTTATTTACTTAAACAGTAGTAATGATTTTTATTCCTCATTCAAAGAAGAAATCAGGGTAATATGCATTTCTTGATTTTTCTGTCTTCAATGAGCAAATTTGTAAGTGTGTTAAAGTTCGAGCTTCGGTCAACTAAAAAGTTTACTGAAAAGAAATGTCATGTTTAACTTTTACAGCAAGATACAGGAGAGGTGGCACCACGAAGTCTGGTTTTTCCATGATATCTTTCTGTCTGTTCTTAAACAATCCTTGACTTTCCATAACACCTTACATCACAAACCACACCTCTGTTCTGGTCCATCCACGAATCAGAAAGCTCTCAAATGAACCGGAAGTATAGCCCGTTTAAATGTGGCAACTTCCCAGTTCAACGGTAGAGTTTTGAGAGTTTTGAGAGTTTTGAGAGTTTTGAGAGTTCCAGGAGAGTTCCAGGAGAGTTCCAGAAGAGTTCAGAGTTCTTGGAATCCAGAATGCAGAGCGTTTGGGAATTCATGAATGCAAAACGCAGGCATTCATGGATGCTGCTAAACCAAACAAGCTGAACCAGAGACGATTTTGGGAATTATAACTTCTGTTTGGATAACCTCGCACGACTCTCGAGGTATTTTAGCTGTTCTCAACGGAGACGCTGAAAGTGGCTGGAAGTAGGACTTCACGCCGACCTGATCTATCTTCAGAAAGGTAAAGTCGACCTTCACCCAAAAGTGTACTGTTTGGGACAAGCTGATTTCCAAAGAGCGTGCTGTTCTGGTTAAAACAGATAAATTCCCTCACACATCTCTCTGTAAGATAAATCTCAATTTTCCATCTTCAAACTCTCCTTTCTGCTAGAAAATTAATCCAGATGTTTTCATTAATGTCTGTGGTGAAGCAACGGAAAACCATGGCCGTATGGTTTTCCTGGTTGTAAGCTGATTAACTGATTATGTTGTTATTTTCATATTTTGCCAAATTAATGTAAATGTTTGATGTTAATCTTTGATTCTGTAAATAAATGACCGCATTCATTTTGATGGGTCAAAGATAAATAACGTTTCTCGTTACATTTTTGTTAAATTCAATGCACGCATGTTACACAGTCCAGAAAAATGAAGAACCCGTTTAATGTATGAATATATCTCAGTATATGTCATACTACATCTGGTGGCCCGTGACGGTTCATAAATGACTGTGTATTCGTGTAAAGATTGATTTTACATGTTGGCATAAAAAATAACAGAGTGTTTGCTGTGCTGGAACGCAGCGTGCTGGAGCTGCGCGCTTGGCTGAAACGCTACATGTTTACGCTGGCGATGTTTTGAAGCTGAACTTGTGAGCCAAAGAGTTCTTTTAAAGCTGAAATTGTACGCCTGTTATGTGTAACTAAAGCTGGCTTTGAGCTGTGGGAACGCTTTATTCTGTTTAAACTGGTCCAAACGGACAGAGGTTCGGTTCTGGTACCGGCTCGGTTCTGAAAAAGTTCGAACGAGTTGTTTAAATAGCTAGAAAAACGTTTTTGAGACCGGGGCGCCGACTCCCTGCAGCTGGGAGCTTATCGTTACATCTTTTAACAGAAAAAAGTGCATTTTGACAGTTTAAAAGACAAAAAGTTGACGGACTTGTTCAGATAAATCTAACATGCTAGTTGGGAAAAACGCTGCGTGATTGGTTGAAAAAGACCGTGTGTAACGTTTTGATTGGCTGACAGACGTGTCAGTAGTGACTAACTCTGACGTGTCAGGTCGTGTTGCTCTGTCATTGAACGATTCAGTCACGTGACCCGGAAATGAAAACTCGTTTTCTTAGGGAAATAAAATCTGCTTTTTAAAGCTGAAAAACGCTTTAAAGTTGATTCTGATATGATGCTCCGTGTCTTCGAAGCATAATTGTTGAAATTTCGCCGCGTTTGAGTTTAAAATCCGTCATTAAATGATGTTTTTGAACAACGCTAGTGATGCTAATTTTAAGCTAACAGCTAACGACCGGATGAGTGACGTGTCACGTCACTTCCTCCATGTCAGAAATGAGCTCGGTTGCAACCGGAGCCTTCACTGTGCTTAAAATCACTAAATAAAACTTGCCATATGTCCCAGAAAACTCATGTTTCATGCAACAAAGTCGTGCTTGGTGAAAGAACGCCGCTTTTACGCTTCAATACCGTTCAGAAATGTTGATTTTAACCGAGTTTAGCCGAAGCTAACTTTAAGCTAAGCGGCTAAAAACAGGATGTCAACCGAACGTCATAGGAAGTCGTCATAGACTCCTGCTGGTAGAAAGCTAAACACTGCCCCCTCCTGGGAAACTTGAGATCACAGTTTCACTTCAGATTTAGGTATTTTAGTGAAATTAAACGTTTTTTTTTTTCTGTAAGGCATTTTTGAGTTAATAAACGTTCCTCAAAGCTGAATAATCACTGTTATCTTGCATTTAAAAAGTAATTAAGGTATTTATGCAAAAAAGGCATTTACCAGGACATTTTCATTCACTGAACTCCTCAAACAAGGAGGTACAAAATGAAAAATTAGAAACTTTTTAAAAGATACGGTTCAAATATTCACAGAGTTGAAAAGTTTACTCATTTGCTAAAAGATAATGCACGTTTAATTGCTAAATCACTAAATAAGAGTAAATATATCAGGAAAAAGAGACTTTTCTGATTTTATTTACCACCTAAACAATTACATCTCCTATTTAATTTTAAATAGAAGATTGGCAGGAGAAAGGAGTACAGTTTTTCTGAAAAAAGCCTGATTATTCCTCATCATCAATTTTCTTTTTTCTTTTCACCACTTGGTTCTATGAGTAACTGTTAAATAGCAAATTTCTGGAACAGAACGGTTTAAAAAGTGTCTTTAAACTGATTTGCTGTGAGACTTTTTAGAAAAATTGCAGGTTTATTAAAAATTCAGTGCTTTAGAGTAAAATACACTAAAAAGAGCTTGGTAACTAGTATCTGTTAAGAAATAAGCACATAAAAAGTAACACTGCCATAGAAG